TAATGAACTCAGAAAATTTAAAGATAAACCAATAATAGAAATAAACAGGGTTGTTATTTTCGTTTTGTTCTTTTGGTTACTTTAGAGAAACTTTTTGTTAAGCCTACCTTATATCATAAAATAACTGCGATACCACGAGTGCCCTAATTGTTCAAAAAACTATCGTTTATTTCACCGAGAAACCCACAGAAAATTTAATATATTTTATTAAATCACCGACATGTGATTTACAAACTTTTCTCGTGTCCCCCCGACATCCGTGGGTTATCAATATAGGTAATAACATGATTTCTCGCGCAATTTGGGCCTAAGGGCTCGTGTAATGTTGGTGTCTTCGAAAAATTTACAAGTGCTTACTTACACCAAATTGCACAAGAAATCATACTAATACTTGTTAATAATTTACTTGAAAAAAGCATCACAGACGAAAAATTGACAGCACGCGCTCTATTTGTAATTTGCACTCGTTTTCAGCCAATCAGATGCGCGTAATTTTTTCATGGCTCTCAATCAAGGGAGCAAGTGAGGGACAAAAGGTGGTTGCAGTCGTTTGGAAAAAGGCAGTTGTGAAGCGAGAGCCCTTTTTTATCATTTTTCTAGACCGGAACCCCGGAGTTTTTTCGCCAGCACAATTGCTTGGTAAATTCCATCTGCGTATATACGTAATGAACAACCAACGCCTCACGCTCTTAGCAAAACAAATATAAAACAACATATAACACAGGGTAACACAATTGAAACACTTCTAGGAGACAAGTTTGTCCAAAGCTACCTCAAGAAATTATTTGTACCCAGCAATGTTTTCAATTTCGAAACAGCTTTGTCCCCTTGTCTTCCATTTTGACTCATAAAGTCAGATCTCGAAGGTTGCAGTAACGCTAAGGTTTTTTTTAACACATAATACAGCCATCAATATTTCCAAAATCTCGAAAATCGCGTAAGGCTCCTTTTTCCCACGAGTAGACCTCTTTTCTAACGAGAATAAAGTATTGGGGTGCGATCGTAGACCCCAAGGCAAACTGATTCGTTGGGCAAATATAAAAAAAGATATGAGAAATGGAAATTACCGCTTCGTACTTTCAGATAATTGGAATTTCATGCTGGTGTTCTTTGCATCCTGATTCTTTTGTTAATGAAACTAAACTTTCGCAGAAGTGAAAGTGAAAAGCTTAGTTTGTTTTATCTAAAAACCCAAAGCCGAGAGATTCAAATGAAGTGAACTAAAGCGAACTGAAAGGAATTCTGATATCATGACACGTCTGATATCCTTTCTCTGTTAAATATTCGGCATGTACATGTATCATGTTTAATGGACACCCCTATGAGCGAGTTTTAAAAGAAATCGCTCCCTTTGTCTGAAAAACTTCGTGAAAACTTCAATTAAAGCTAAAATTGCATTTATTAATTTGACAAAAGTGGTCCTCTGGAGTATTTCCTCTCTGACCGAGCTTGTCGACAGACGCACATCCAGATGAAGTTGAAGACCAAAAGCACCATGTGTTTTATTTCATTCGACAAGTAAGTCCAATATTTGTCAAAAGTGCCCTCGTATTTACAGAATCAGCAGATGTTTTCACTTCGATGATGCTTCCTGCCCTTCAGCCAGCTAAAAGGAGTTAGGATGTACTGACGCACTGATATTCTCACACTTCAAAGATGATGATGCTAGTGGTGTTCTCTCTGGTATGCATACTGCAACATCAAGGTGATTTGCTTCAATTCACTTTCTAGCTGTAGTGTAGTTCAGTTCATTTTTATTTAGCTCTCAGGCAAGGCTGCTAAATACGATTCCTTTTTCAGTTTTTCGGTCAAGGATTGACATAGCGCTATTTTAAAGAGCTCCTAAAAGCCAGCGAGTTGCACAGAAAAAGATTCTCGGAAGTTTTGAATTTTACAGGAATAATTTTTGCGTTGTGAGTAGACGGATATTTCTGAAAAAAATTCGGCGACGATCTGTTCATGAACCAAAGCATAAACCATGGTATAAACTTGATATTTTCAAGTATTCCCCCATGTTGAGTTAATTCAAGGGCAACAAGACGTTCGATGAGTGCAACTAGACCATCTGTATACAAAGAACACGAGTTGATGGTTGACTCGAGTGGGAATTTTTTTTTTCCAACTGGCGACTGAAGGTTAGCAATAACTTCTATGGCGCTTTGTTTTCCGAGAACTTATTTTTGGGCGGGATCTTAATTGGTTTAGATTATCCAATTATCTCTATCTATCTATCTATCTATCTATCTATCTATCTATCTAGCTAGCTAGCTAGCTAGCTAGCTAGCCAGCTGGCTATCTATTTCTCCATCTCCTGCATATAGATACAAGCAAAAAGTTGAGACACGCCAAATTTTCATATTATTTAGTAACCTCGAGATAAGTCAACATCAACTCATACGATGACTTCACCTTTCTTTTAGAAGAACAGGTTTTATAGAATGCTGGTTTACTAGCGTTAGGACTCGTATTCAAGATTTTCGTGATAAATGTTAGTTGTGCATGAGCAAAGATTGAAGATAGGTAAAAAACAAACATGACAGTCCATGACTGATATCAAAACTACTTTAAGCCGACTGTAGCGATTTCTATACACCTTGCTTCCAAGAAAAATTTATAAAACTCAGATTTCGTGTTACATATCAATAAATGCAAAACAAAACCGTTAATTTTTCGGGGATGAACTCCGAATTTGCATTTTAGCTGATGGAGTTAATTTCCGCTTTCGGCTATACTCGCACAATTTTGACAACCTGGGACATCTGAGGCTGAGATCATACTCGAATAAAAGATGTGCTATGATTATTTGAAATAATAATTGTATAAACAAATATAGTTCAATTACCGGTGAGTTAGAGGAGGTTGCCCAAAGACGGAAATGCAATTGGCTTAAATTCATCACCGAACACAGTTAATATTTTGTTGACCGGAAAGCTCTTTTAACAACCAAGAATCTTGGCGGGAGGTTGTTAAAAATTCAGATATATTGTCATCGCCATGCTTAACATTTCCGGAAGATTTTAGGGACTACGAAACCAGAATAACGAATTGATTTCGTAGAAAAGAACTCAGTTGTCGCAATGCAAGATCCATCGATTAAGATAAGTGAATACACAATGATGCAGCATCATGAATGAAAGAGGTTGCTATGGGTAAAGATCCATTTATCGTTTTTTTAACGATTGAGGAGGCTATTAATATTTAAAAAATTATATGAAATAGAACTCAGTTTTCCTTTATACAAACCCTGATTGGTGCGAGATAGACCTGTTGGTTATTAACAAATTGTACTCGGGACCACTCTGAAAAAAATTAATCGCGTGGCGGGATACAGCATATGAATCTTATAACGCCTGTGACCAAGTTACTCCGCTATGATAACACCACAAACTCCAGCCTTTGACAAATCGGACCACAGTCACCTTCGTGATCAGTTTTTGTTGAAGAAAACTTCTTCACTGCAAATAGCTAAATTCTGGAGTTTTGGTTGGCTTACTACTCAGATACGTGACTGAAAAATATTTTACCACTTAAAACTAAGGAATCGTTATACCGTTCGTTCATACTACCGAATTTAATATTACTGCAACCAAGTTTGGCACCATTGCGGAAAAAGAAACACTGCAAAAATCGAAAAAGTCAATGAAAGAGCACTGTGATATGTCTATAATGATAAACATGCACCTTATCAGCATCTCTTGGAAAGGATAAGACTACCCTCCATGGAATCTCGAAGAATTCAAGACATGTTACTGACAATACCTAACAGCATATCGAACAAAGCACCACGGGAAATTAGGAATCTTATTAACTTACGCTCATTTAAGTACAATCTCAGGCGCCAAGAATATGTTTTATCTTTACCTAAAGTTAACACTAACGAATATGGACTCAAGTCATGGAGATATTTTGCAGCCAATAAATGGAATGAACTCTCAAATGACATTAGAATAAAAGTGGGCACCAAAGAAATAGTAACTAGAATTAGATCATTAAATTTCGGGGATTAGTAGATTTGTAACGTTAGTTTTAATAGTATTTTGATTGCGGCGGTAATATTGTAAAAACAGTTTTAAATAGCTTTTAATCAGTATTTAATTTGTGATTTTACCCACTGATATTAGCGATGTTAGCTGTTAGGTTAGCTGTTAGGTTTTCATTAGGTATTAGGTAAACTAGCTCTTAAGCTAAGCGTATTTCCACGTTAAATAAAGTATTAGTTTAGTATTAGTTGAGGTGAGCTTGCTAAGCGTGTTACTTAACGGGGCCAATTTGAGACTCATTTGATTCTTGCAGTTTTTGGATATGGCTCATATATATCGCATCTCGTCGTAAACACTGGCGATCGAGTCATCCTTTGGTGTACTAATCATGATTTAAGCCAGCTGCAAGGAAAAGTCACCCTAACCTGGGAAAAAAGCCACAAGACCATACAAGCAGGTGACCCACGGCTGAACACAGTAGCAAATGGCACTTTAGAACTCAACAATGTACAGACAGAAGACTGGGGGTTCTATCGTTGCACTGTCACAGCAAACAATTTTAAAGTGGTAAACACCACCTACCTTATCGTCAGAGGTAGGCTATCGTAGTACTTTATTGTATAATGAGGNCGACCAGACCCTTTCATTAACGTCTTAACTTATACTACCAACACAACTATAGTGTACATTATATAACCGACATGAAATAATTTTCTCTCACGCCAGAAACTTACCAATATCGTTACCACACTTTCAACAGAATGTCTCATCTACAAACACAGGTATGAATTTTCTCTAAGTCTTCTTAGCGATAACAAGGACACCTTTGAAATGAAAGAATGCTTATGTTGTTTGAGAAAAGAAAACCACGACGACTAGATCCTTGGCTTCAAGCATTTGGTGATTTCACATAATATTTCCAAGGTTTGGCAATGAAACCAGAAATTATAGAAAAAAATATTTCTAAGGCCAGGGAGGCACAAGTGACTAGAAACTCAGCCACGTGGGGGACTAAGTAAAGAACATTCCTGTTAAGGGGTTCGAAGCAACATGAATAGACGAACTATTGGGTATGGTGGGAAAGATTCCGCAACCCAACAATTAGAAAGGGTTTAGATGGATATTGATTGAAGAGGTCCTATTTATTAACTTAAGAACGTTTTCCAAGTCCATTTGTGCTACAATTTTTTAGTTGGAGGGGTATGTGCGGGAATTTCCATGGCTCGTGGATGTCAATGGCTGAAAAACAGGGGTGATATATATATATATACATATATATAATGTGTGGTAGTCGAAAAAAACAACTACAGATACATCCCTACAGACCTGTTTCGTGGTTGCCCACTCATCAGGGGATTTTAATGGCGGAATAATGCGATACCATCGTTTATATATTACACTAATTGCTAATTAACATGGTTTATGCAGTGTGAAAAGTGTCAAGTCAGCTGTTGCGTAGGAGTGTTTTGTTTCTGTGTCGGCAGGAAGAGACGAGTTCGTTACGCTTGTGTTGATAGGTCTGGGTGCCAGATGATTAGGAATATTTCTTTAAGGCTATCCAACGTACTTTTAACTTAATTAAATTTTTATTTATTTATTTACTTATTTACTCACTTCTCTATTCTCTTTGTTTATAATACTAATTGTGTATAAATACCTCGGTTAGTGTAAATATAGAATTAAAGTAAAGTAAGTCCTGTGTAAATGTTAAGATACACCAGTTAATTATACGTGATAGTGGCCAACTCGAAAGCTATGCTAGTTTGGTCACTGTGCACATTTTACTTTTGATTAATGATGTAATTTAGTGTTTTTTATATATTCTGACTTTTATAATCTATAGTAACCTCTTGAAATAGTGCGAATAAAGAGTTTCCTTTCCTTTCCTCTCACATGATTGGCTGAATTCTCAACGCATTCTGATTGGTTCTTACATATGATATCTATAAGAACGGACCCTTAGATGACGTCACCACTAACAACATTTTGTCTTTTTTATCATAAAAAAAAAAGATTTCTTTGGTTCCTGGGTCTGTAAAATAATAGATCACAGCAGAAGAGCGTCACTGACACAGTCGGCTGCGCCTCTTGTACTACTTTTCTGTTCTTACTACATTTTGATGTCATCCTTGATCTATTGCTGAACAGATCCACGGAATCTTTTTGTCAAGTGGAAAAGTCAAGAAAATTTGATGATATAGCAAGGCCACATCGTTTAGAAGATAATATTCTGTCTTTTTCCTTCACCCTATCGATTGCACGCTGTAATGAGATAACAGGTTCATCTCCTAAGGGGGTACATAAGTTAAGCTATAAAGAGTCCGTGATCCATATACACTTTATCAGTTTGATTTCCTTCTATGGTCCAGACAAACTCCTAAGCTTTCGTTTTTATGTTTATCCGTCTTTTATCGCAGAATTTTTTTCTCCTGGATTTGTATCTAAGTGTGACGTTACTGATGACGCGAGTGCTTCCTTTTTCTATATCAACGTGGATATCTATTTTTTATTTCTCTAGAATCGCGAAAACGTCACTGACGTCCTTTTAGAAACAATAGATGTGTTTGCCTCTCAAATAAGCAGTCAGCTTGGCAGATCGATTAATTCCACTTCATTCGTCCTTTCATCAAGAAATATTGGCATCAGAGTTGACCGAGTTAACGCAAGCCAGAGGGTGAGTCACTTTTAAGTCATTTGGAGGTCTCAATCAGAGTGTCACAATTCTTCGAACCTAACCCACTGGAGCGGTCAATTCAGAAATGTAAATGCATCGAAGATGAAGTTTCGCAGGAAATTTGTATTGGCAACCGAAAAACATTCCTTATTTGGTAATCTTGCTGAAGGACAAACAAAAAGTTTTCTCGGGTGACTTTGTGACGCGTAACAGTTTAATTTCATTTTTTCTCATTTTTAACCTCAGCTCTTTCGACAAATTCTTTCACTCATTTTGATTTTGGGTAAATGGACGAGCCGGTGAGATGTCATCCACATGAACCACAATCGACTCCCTCAAACGCTCTGTTAAATCATATTTATTTAAAAAGGCTTTTAGTTAGATTATTTATTCATTTAACTTAATATTGTGTTTTTTAAAAAATTCTGTGTTTTACTAATTACTCTGGAAATTTTTATGCTGTAAATATTTTAATTTTACCGGGTTTAATAATAAGATTGTAATGCGCTTTTGAGTATATTTAAAGAAAAAGCGCAATATAAGAGTTAAATATTATTATTATTATTAATTATTATTATTATAAGGGCTGATAATATATCACCGTAAAAAACTAACGCAGACATAGAGTCCATGTATAGAAGCGTCCAAACTGAAAGTAAGAAATGCTGTTGGGGAGAGCCAACTAGACCAATGTTTCAGTCTCGTTGACTGAACAAATGTTCTTTACTAGGACTTAAACCCGTCCAATATTTGATTTCACATGAAGTCCAACGAACACACCATTCATCGCATCCTTTGATTACGAACTATCGTTTGTTCTTTGTTTGTTTGCTTTTTGTTTGTTTGCTTTTTTGTTTGTTTGTTTTTCTTTCTTATTCAGCAAACTCGTTTAAGTGAGAAAACCAACTTGACTTTCAATTTATTTCCCAGCTCGACGTCGATTTCTCTCAATATGGGTCATCCGTCTTGTTTCCTGGTTCAGTATTCACCAATAGTCCCACAAACGTAGCAGTAGTTGTTGCCTACAAAACAGTGCACAAAGTTCTCAGACTTGAAAGAGAGGCATCAAGTAATGAACAAGAAAAGAGGCCAGATACCTCGAGTATCGTTTCCGCTAAGATCATCCCTCGTCCAACGAGTCCACTGAGAACACCATTCAAACTGGTTTTTGATCACAGCAACAAGGTACAAGAAATTAAAGTTGTGTCAGTTGGTTCATCCATGGTTCATCCATGTTGTTAACCACTGTTGTCACCTTGACGTTTCCTATGTAGCACTTTGATTGGATTGCAACAAATCCTCTGTGCTCATTGAACAATCTATCTGACACACAATCACTTATTTCATTGCGAGCACATACCTATACGGTGATTATAATTTTTCCTGCTCCCAGAAGATTTCGTGGCTCAGTTGATAATGACGCAGTTCTAGTGTCTGAGACTGCCCAGTTTCGACTCCCTGTTCAAGTCTTGACTTTTTCTCAAGCATCTTACGATCCCTGCAAGTTGTGGCCGGATTCACATGAAAGGATCGTTTTCTTATTTGACGATGCGGCATTTCTTTATCTGCTTCACTTTTACGCCTGAATTACGATCGGAGAAACATACTGACCACTTTGAAACAAACAAAAAGCCCACCTAGGCCAGTTTGGTTGTAAAGATGCATGCACTCGTTCCTTCGTCAGAACGAGTGCATGCATTAGGATTAATTGGGAGTTTTAGTTATTAAGCAGTGTTTTAAACTTATATATGGCTCGCGATATTACCAGCGATCTAATTTGCGATCGTATCATATTGTTTAGAGGACAATGATTTGATGGGACAGTGCGTCTTCTGGGAGATCGACCAGTCGCAGCGAAAGTGGCTAACACGTGGATGCGTGCGCGTGGATCGTGAGTCAAACGCGAGTTCGACCACGTGTGAATGTGATCACCTGACCATTTTCTCGGTTTTGTTCAACAACAAACCGGTAAGAAGAAGCATCCAGATTTGTTTTGTAATTTCTTTCTATATTTGACAAAATAGCATCGCCTCATACTTCTTTTCGTTCTTTAAAATACTCTATGGTCAATTCTTTAGAGTAGAGGTAAACTTGTGTTTTAGGTCACAACATTTGTTTTCGTTTCATCTGGTACAACAGGATTTTTACTTTGTTATTTTAGATAGATGGTGGTAACCACCATCAACCTTACCTGAGGCATATTTCCACAATAGGCTGCGCATGCTCTCTGCTGTTTCTTCTGCTGACCTTTGCTGTCCTCATTTTGTGCTGGAAACAAGTAAAAAGCATCCGCACTATAATATTACTGAACCTGTGCGTAGCTATCGCTGCTTCTTGTCTCTTGATCATCCTTGCTGAACACGCTCGAAGGCCTAAGGTAAGAAAATACTGAGACCTACGTTCTAAGGAGAATCATTTGAGGATTCAGTGTCAGTATGATGGATAAGTGATGCCGATAAGCTAAACACGCATTTTAATTGGATCTTGCGTATGAGCTATTAGAGGAAATACGTATCATTGCCGTCATCAAACCAACATTTTGATTCTGTGTTTCTGTGGGTCTGTTTGGTAGTAGCTCACATGAAACATTAAAATGTGCTGAGAAAATAGCTGACACACCAAGCTCTTACGCATCTTTCGTGTTTTCCAGACTTCCTGCATAGTTCATATCCCGAAGAAAGTGCACTGACGCATGTACAGTTGTTAAAATATAAGGCTTAGCCTCCCTGTAATCGTTCTTAATACCCCACTTTCGCACTCACTCGATCGAGAAGACTAAATGAAAACCTGGCAAATCTATCGGTACAGCTCCCATCGACGGGTAGAACCCAGTTTATGTCTGGTTTTTGTCTTCGCTGGATCGGGCAGGGCGCAGTCGGGAAGATCTGACAGATCCTTTCAAAACCAGGCCTGATTACTTTTTTCCCCTTTAGGCATTATGCACCATCACGGCAACATTTCTCCATTACTTCCTATTGTGTGTATTTTCGTGGATGTTGTGTCATGGCGTCATTCTGTACTTTCTCATCATAAAAGTGGAGACGCGAGAAACTCTTGTACCAAGGATGAAATGGCTCTACGCTTTCGGATGGGGTAAGAAAAAATTAAGGTCAGTTTTGTACATACAACTATGACTGAGCAATGCTGTACCTCACTTTTCAAAAGCTTTTTCTTCTCGTTCCAGGCTTCCCTCTACCAATAGTCGCCATTTCCCTAATAGCCACTGGTACCAAACTTAACACAGCGAATAACTGCTGGCTGACACCAGAGCATGGGGTCATTTACTGGGCGTTTGCCGCTCCAGTCGCGACAGTTATAATCGTGAGTACACTCTGGATCACCACGCGTTCGATTTGTTTGAACATGTCCGACGCTCTGCGATCTGAGCTAACCAGGCAGCTAAAGGGAAAGTTCTGGCCGGAAAGATTAGAACTGAGAAAAAGGAAAGCGCAGAGTGTTATTGTTTTCAAGGAAGTTTTAGCAGTGAGCGTTGACGAAAGGCTTCGTGCCAATTTCGTTGTCTCGCATGCAATCAAATCGAACGCATCCATACGTGCCATCACCAGTAATACATCGTATGAAATATGTCAGTTTTACCAAGAAATTACCGATCATGACATATCTAACATTTTGTTTCTTTACTTTGTTTTGTTCCCTATTTCAGATCAATTCAATCTTGTTAATATTCTTGTTGCGCCAAATAAACAGAGCTACAAAGTTCAAAACCAGCATGTCACGTGCCAGGCCATGCGCTAAGCGCGTGAAGGCTTGGTTACGACGAACTGCAATGCTGCTGCCAGTCCTTGGAGTCACGTGGTTATTCGGCTTTTTGACGTTCATCACCTCTACAGCTGTGTTCCATTACCTGTTCACCATCTTAAACTCGCTTCAGGGATTTTTCATATTCGTCACTTTTTGCATTCTAGACGATGCAGTAAGTATTTTATGACTGTGTTTTTAGCAAAACATTTCAATTTTCGTCTTTCATCGGGTATGAAATTTAATCAGTTGATTTTGTATCTTATGAGACCTTCATATCAAACTCCTGAGAATAAAGGCTCTCCGCCTTTTTGAATCTTCTGAAGACATCTTTTAACTTGTGGATTTGCGAAGCGCAGGACTGAGTCGTGTGGGGATTCGATCTGAAAAATATATTGAGGTTAGCACGGCCTTAGGGGTCTGGGGAGAACATGCATCTTATTAATCATGGTGGACGGATTGTTAAATATGGCAGATCAATAGGGGAGGACTCTTGTGGGGATCAAGGCTCATTTTTTTGGACTCACAGGATCTTTGTCTTTAACTGTAATCACTGTATATTCTAAATTTACTCTGCTAACCGCCGCCTGGTTAGCTCAATTGGGAGAGCGCCGGACTGCTGTGCGGGAGGTCGAGAGTTCAATACCGGCCGGACCAACACTCAGGGTCTTAAAATTAATTGAGAAGAATATGCTTCCTTTCTTTAACATCAAGAAATGGTTAGATATTCTAGTCTTCTCGGATAGGGACGAATAAATGGAGGTCTCGTCTCCTGCAGGGTTGGGGTAGGAGACGTTAATTTCCCACGCACGAAATTACTGTGTGATGGATGTCCTCCCTGGGGTGAGTTGGGTCGGACTAAACACGGCTGCCAGAGGCGCCTGTCTGATTTCAACCTTAAAATTGTAACTAAACACGTATGTTGTTTAGAGAAATAGAGACCTTTACCTTTACCTTCACAATATATCCTCGGGTCCGCTAAAGTGTTTCTTTGATTTCTTGTTTCAGGTTAGGGAAACGTTAGTTGGTAGGTTAAGTAAGTGGAACGCCATATCGCCTAAAGAACAGTCAGGATTGAACTCCAGGATTACTGTGCTCAAAATCACTGCCACACGAATTCAATCAGGTGATTAAGTATAGGAGCGAATTTTTTATTGAATATAGATCGAAAAACCTGAAAAACCAAATCACAAAGGACAGTCCAAACGAGGCAAGTACTACAAGGAATGCAGCCAATAAAAGTTCAACGTAAAACCAAGCAAACTTTCTGAGGCGCGGGAAAATGCACGTGACCAGGTCGTGATTAAATTTTTGGATTTTCTGATTGGTTAGTTAAAAGAGAGACACGACCTTTTTAGGACCTAATCATAGAGCGAGAATAATCTGGAAGGTTTTTAGTTCAAATTCTTGGGCAGGTGGAGGGACTCTGATCTTGTAGCACCTTTTTTTTTCTTTAACACCCCATTGTTTTAGTTAAAACTCTTTGTTTACCGCTGTTTCGGGAAAGGTTGTCGGAAAAAAGGACAAAAGTGCACGCGATATTATCGAAGTGTAATCTGGGTATTCGGTAATCGATGAATTTCGATAAATCAAATTCATTAATTAGTTAATCAAACCCACGATGCCTACTTCCTTACAGCGACGTTTTCCCAGGTTTCCCTGAAATCTTGAGGTCAAGGAACCGTGACCTGAAAACTACCCACAACACCTTTAGGGTTTCTTGTGTGCACTTAAACACTTTTTGTGTTACACCAGTAAATCTATTGATCTCATTGCCTTATGTTTCCACCTTGACGGTTTTTTTTAGTTCAGAGTGCAACCATGACAGCCACAAATCAACACGGAGGAACATGTAACCTCGCCAACGATGCCAGGGAATCCAAAATATCAGAGCCAAAATTGCAGACATGGATAGCAGCTGATGTGTGATAGAGTATGAAATGACTGTGTACGTGACAAAAAAATTTAAAGGGGCTCTGCTAATTAGGTTCTGTACTGCTTAAGTCTATGGCGTTGCCCCGTCGTTTGATCAGGAGAGCTACTGTAGTCATAGATCCTGATCATAGAAGAGAAAGAGCGAGAATCTGTAACTCAAAAACAGTCAAGTGATACTCCTTTTTAAAAAAAACCCTATTTTTGAGAGCTTTGAGGGCACGAATAAATATAATTTTTATCAAGGACACGCCTCAGGCTAAGAGTCAGTTGAGGACCTTTTCACCTTTTCTAGTTTTCTGTAACGATAAACCTGCGAAAGACTTCATGGAAGAAAACTACGCATTGAATTAATGAATTACTAGTTGACTAAGTGTAGGAGACGTGGTTATCTGCACTAGCGCGCGGGACTCCGGGCCGAAAATTGTGGATTGTATTTTAAACCAAGCACGTTCTGTTATTGAAATTTCCTAACATGCCCCCTTGATTAGTTCTTTAGCACGAATAAACTTATTTGCAATCTTCCACAATGTACAGTGTGTCTGTAGCCGAATATTGACGATGCATAAGTAACCAGTTTCATTCTTCGAGTTCGAGAATTTTCGCACCGAAACGTTGCGAAAATTACCCAAACAATGTGTGGGTTCACCTCCAGTCCCTCCGGTTTATTTTATCTCCGATAGCTTGGTTTGTGCCACTGTGATAATATATACTGGCCTCCTTTAAGAGTTTCCAGAGCTGTCGTTTCGAGCCTGAACTCTTCGTTTATTCGCTCTGACAAAAGGCTGGCTCCGAAACGTCTCTTCGCGGAGGTCAACTCAGTTTATAATTATCTGGTCCGTACTTCCCTCCAAAGCAGCACCAAAGTTCCTTTAATATATAGATTTAGCCAAGCCTAAAAGCGGAGCTCCCAAGTTCGTAATACTAATGATAACATAAAAGATGTGCTTTTGCCAAGACTTGCCTGAGACACCCTCCCTTCGTTTTGATAGTCTCCCCTACCCTACCCGTGCAATCTGAAGGCACGTACGTACGCTCGGTCAGTCACGTGACAACCAAACGAAAAGAGGTTGACCATATTCCATGGGTATGGGGCTCTGCCCCACGTGCGCCCCGCTGAAAACGTATCCCCTATTATGTTACATTCGGTTTTCGTTCAACCAGAAAAGCAATATTACAAACTATGATTTGATCCGAAGAACTGACGACAAAGGGTCGCTACGCCTGAGGAGACCTTTCGGCGAAAAGTAGGTTACTAAGGCAGCCCATCTTATGAAGACTGATCGGCGCATAGGTCATTAGCGCATGAACACTAGAAATAAAACACGCGCGTGGTAATATGCACTGGGGACGATGTGTGCGCGCGCCGCCGTGTACTAATTATGACGTCACAATATAAATTAAGATGAACGACACGTGTCGGAAGAGATCAGCCATAAGACAGCAAGGTAGCTAACTTTCACCTAAGCAATTTGGTAATATCAACTAAGTTGAAATGGTAAATTGGCCACCGTAAAAGAGTTCAAAAGTTGACGTTTCGAGCGTTAGCCCTTCGTCAGAGCACCACATAGTGGCAGTCTCCTGGGGAGTGAAGGCATAAGGCAAACTGAAAGAATGGCAAGTTTCCTACATCTGTGTTTACCTAGTTCTTCCCCTTTTCTCCTGTATTGTAAATTAAATCTCTTCTTAATGGGATGATATTATTTACTTGTTTCGTTGTCTATTTTCTTCCTCTTGTTACTTCCTCTCCTTCAATTTTATTTTTTCAAAGCCAGCGTTTTTATATTTTACAGTACCCACACGGACGAAGGTTTACGCGAACAAAATTCTGACTGCTGGTCAACCATGGACTAGGCAACCTGGCGCTGTTCAGAGAGGAACCGAGCGACGGAAATCGCAGTTACCCTTCCGTCCTAAAAAACGACAACAATAAGGTGAGAACTTAACTGCTTAATAATGCATAAGAACTTGTGGGAAAAAGTATATGCACATTACTTCTGCGAGTTGAACACATCAATCAGTACAGACAAGAAATACACGGTACCGCATGTGGGATTTTATTGGTGGCTTATTGTACCGTCATTTGTACTATATTATACTACATTAATAATTATTTCTCTACGAATTACTCCTTATCTATTTCAGTTTCATTCTTCTTCCCAACCCTGTGGTGAAATAACTGTAGCCTTAGGGGTGGCCACTGTTGACATATCACGGACCAAGCCACTTTAGAAAAGCTCCCTTAGTTCTTCACCTCACCTCCCCTCCCATAAAGACATACCCGTTAAAGTGGAGTGAAACTCGCAATTCCCTAAAAGAAAAAAACAAAACAAAACCGGCGAGAAAAAAAGAAAATGAAAATAATCGAAAGGAAAATGACGAGGAACCTTAGAAGGCTAACACGTTAGGACATCAAAGGTAACATGAAGAGCTTTAGATTACGACGGAAAGTACAACCAGTTCGGTAGCACTCAGTTTCGCTACTGGATTTTTTTCACTGAAGAAGGTTGAAGTCTGAGTAACTTAGGAATAAAAGCCTTGGTGCTTTAAAATACAATGGCAATAAGAAGTAACCTAAATTTAAAAATACAAACATACTTACAAAACTACGGGAAAAAAATTTGTGCGAGTTCCTCCATTCTCTTCAAGTACTCGCCCTTTTCCCTTTAAATTTACTTCCTAACATTAACTCTTATAAAGAAATCAAGCATTGTATCACCTAATTAATCGAATAAACGTACTCTTCACTATCCTACGCTATATTGTACGAAGATCAGGCTCAGTGGTTCGGCACCGCATGGAAAAATTGTAAATAGACCAGCCCGCGTTGGTTTCTTTAATGGAACTCGAATTTGTCACGCGAAATGGAGCTTTTCAATACCGTTCTCATTTATGGTGGATTTAATCGCCGTTTTTCTTTGGCGGCAATATTAGAATAATCGTCCTATAAACAAAGTAAATTTAACCCCAGAATCGATCGACCCTTGCCATCTTGACGAACAAGAGGGTTACGGAAGGCTCGAAAAAATCTTTCATACCGCCTCTCTTTCAGCAAATGAACCGTTTGTTAGTTTTCTTCTGTGAAGCAATCTGGGCTAGACTGACAATGACTTTGAGATCCGTACGGTACGTTTTGAACCTCGGTCGTTAACGTTGAGCTGCTCGCAGTAAGGCTCTAAAATAGATTTCCTTGAGCCCTCCCCTCTACCTCTTGTTCACAATCAAGGAAACTCCAAGCGAATTTAGATATGACTCGATATATGATTCGATCGTTCCACTGTACACGAAATGGCATGGTACCTTGTAGTGAAAATATACAGTGCGTTGATGAACGATGCATTGTGCAAAAAAATTGTTCACAATATTGTACTGGAGTGTTGTCCGTCATTTCTCTCACTGCAAGATTGGAATTCAAATTACATTTTACGAATACTTTTAGTTTGCCGACACATCTACATTCATCCTTAAACTCGGACAGAAAGCTTAGAACGACTCTCATTTTAACAGAAAAAAGATCTTAACAGTTGTAGGCTTCAGGCCTGGGAGTAGTTAAATAGGACTCTACTTTTTAGAGCTTTCGTTTTCTCCTTTGCCTGCCATGAGCGACGAAGACAGAATTTCTCCTCGCATTATCAATTCAATGTCAACAAACAAGTGACGAGAATACAGAAAAATATAAGTAGTTGAACTAGTACCAAATTTTTCAAACTAACATCATAGGAATCGTATAGCAGGCAATACGGAGATTACCAAAGGCGTCTTAAGAGCGAACGGCCTGGTTTTTTCTTTCCCCACTTGAAATTTTGTTTAGTTTACTATTAAGATCTTCTTCCTCCAAAGTTCAAGTGTGCGATTTTTCATTACTTATGAATTAAACTACCAGCATGGACGAGAACACTCGCACAATATTCCTGTGGCAACATGTGTGACAAAATAGTTTTAGTATTTACACCAGCTCTTAGGCAATTTCAGTTCCATATAATTATGACCAACAACGAGCCTTGTGTTTGTCTATAAATATCTGAGTTTCTCTAACAAAAATATAAACTAAAATTTTCTTTCTCTCTCTGTCTCTCCCACTCTCTGTCCTTGAAACGACTTAAAATGGATATGGAAATAAGACAATAAAATAGCGAACAGGACGCAAGTACGAATAAATTTATAATATTGAAATACGTTTTTGTTTGACTCTTGGAAATTCTTCGTAAAATTCTGTAAAACCATGATCTTAAGCAATGCAAAAGCACATTTTTACAAAACAGATCTAAAGCTAGTCTTAAAATAATCAGAGAAAGCAATATTCTGACATGGCTGTTATTTTTTGGCCGTAAACAGCTCCAATTTGATTCCAACATACTACTGCCAATTCACCCCAAGATGACAAAAAAAAAACCCTGATCACGTTAATCTACAGAAAACATTCTACGTGTACATATGGCATGACATTGACGCAAAACTTCATTATTCTAAACAAGGATACACTACCGACAAAGTTTGAAAACCACCAACAACTGAAATATTTCTGAAAAAATTTCTTGTGTGTCATAATCAATTGCATCTGCAATCATCACACACAAGAAAACTTAAAAACCAAACACTTATTACAGTATTGTAATCTTGTGTGTGGTTGGCCTTTTCCACCTTTGAAATGAGAGCCACCCAGAAATATTCCTGCATTCCATATTTAACATTTAACCATACACATTCTTCAAAGAACAAGTTCGTGCCACCACCCCAAACCCATTTAGGCTAAGACAGCGCATGCACAGGGTACATCTAGCTTCCAAGAAAACCATGATTCATATTCTGGAGAATGCATCCTATTGCTGGAAAACAAAATTTCTCTTGATCTTTGGTACAACCAGACACCTAAATGACCGAGAAATCTTAGAATTCTTGACAAGGCACATATACCCTGTGCATGCCTAGCCAGCTTATAACATATACGTGATTATTTATCTTATCAAATTTGAGCACCTAGTACTGTGGATAAATGTTCTGTGGATAGCCTCCCTGGTCACTGGTTGGGTATCCCTCATAACTTCCATACATCCCTCCATCTTGACTAGGTGGTACCCCCCCTGGCCATGAACCCTGCATCTTAGCGACAACTGCTGGTGGCGCTACACTAGTAGGGGCATTACTGATGGGTACATAGCCAGAAGGATAAGATCCTCCATCTACACTACTGATTGGACGGCCAGAATTCGGGAGGCTGTATGCCCCTGTAAAAAGCCAAATTTACAAATAATAAGCCTTTGATATCAAATCCTCTCATACATAACAACTAACAAAGCAATCACCTCCAATAATGACAGCAAATAAGAGAAGCTGATGGATAAATTTTGCAAATTCTATGCCGCACGACTAGGAGACTTCTCCTGTCATCTCCATACATTATTCAGACAACAGGCAATGAGAGAACTCAAAATTGTTAAGTAGAAGTTGTTATCTTGAACCAACACCAAATTCTCAAAATTACAAGGAAAGAATGTCGCAGTATTAGGAGAAATATATCAATCAGCTCTTTGGGATAAATGGGTTCACATGCATGCCAGTTCAGTTTGGGATGTTCTGTGGTCATATCCTCTAAGTTGATAGTTCACTGATTATTTCATAAAAGAAAATGAGAAGAAAGGTTTTTTCACAAGGTTAGTTCAGCACCAGTGCCCTCATTTTTGGTTCAACCAAAACAGTTCCCTAATTTAAAAATTAGGGTAAATACAAGATGTTCAAAGTTTAATTTTTTTTTCTCAAGCACCAACATTTTTTAAATCTGGACAGAAAACAATTAGGAGAATTCAATGGCAGTTGGGAAGCCAAATATCAAAGATCCAATCTGAAGATCTGATCCAAAGATCTGATCTATCGAATTTCAAGATGATTGCTGCAGCAAAACAAATTTTGACAGGTGCTTGGGAAAGGGAGCAGGCCCTTCACAACTTAACATGACTGTAATCAAATTTCCTAAAAAACATCTTGCAACAAACCTGGGGGTAAAGTGCGGGCTGCATACGCTGCTGTAGATGGAACTGGGGTTCCAGTAGTGGGGGGGATATCCGTTGCTGCTGTGGTAGTCACCACTGAAATGCAACATTGAAGAGATTAGGGGGGGGGGGAGCTGAAAAAACAAGTATCCTTGAACTTGTTATTTATTACCTAGACATACCCTCTATTGGCACACCAAGCTGCTGAAGTGTGTACTCTGCAGCATAGCTCTTGGCCTCTTCTACTGTGCGGCACAGCTTAGGAGGCTGATACTGAGTAGCTAGTCCTGGAATGGATACCTAACGAGGAAATAAAAAAGGATTAACCATAATTTTAAAGCGCTAAGGTTGATTTTATTCAATTTGATGAAGTGAAAGTAACCCCAAAATAATGTGAAAAATCACCCCCTATTTTTATCAAATTACATGGCACCCATGTCACTTAAAGTGGAGCTGTCTAAGAGGCAAAATAATTTGGTTTTATCAACTTAGTTCATGAAGTAAACTGGCTGGAGCAGATGTTACTGTAGCGTTACTCATCTGCACGACTCAGCTATACACTTTCTTTAGAAACTTGTTGCCCAAATGGGAAACACCACAGCGTACACTATTGAGTTATGGATGCACTTGGGAGGTTTGCTAAGCACTCAAGAAGTTAGAGGTCACTCGAAGCGATAGCCGAGAGCGACTCTTACGCTTCTTTCGTGCTTAGCAACCTCCCGCGTGCATCCATAACTCAATAGTGTACGCTGTGGTGTTTACCATTTGTTAACTTCCTTACACATTACTCTCAATCACTCAAGCCTTATCTTACCTTGTGAAGGAAAAGCTGGATGTCCTGTGGTCCCACAGTACTGTGCAGTGTGTACACAGGGCTCCCCCACTGGTTCTTCTGACAAACATCTTCTAGAACCTTTGATCAAGTAAACAAATATACAGTAATGAGCATTTGATTGACCGAGTTTCAGCTGTCCAATTTAGTGAATTAAATCAGAAAAAAAGCTTCACATGATGGGAAAAATATTGTTTGATCTTTTTTCAAAAAAACCAAACAATTTCAGTCTTCTTTTGCCTTTTAACAATGATGGAGATATCTACAAAAATGACAATGGGAAGCTTCCCACCTGAGCTGGTGATTTCAGGGCATGTGGCTTCAATGTCATGGGGTTAGTGGGTGTCAACTCCATTCCCGGCACCAGATCAAACATACGTTCCTACACCAACAAGTGAAATTCAAAAAGTCCAATTTTCAAAGTTGACACTCAAACTCTTACACATGGCACGTAAGTGTTCTATGCTTGTGTTTTGATAGGTCCACAGAAAATAAAAACTTCAATATAAAAAGAATTTAAAAAATCCATCGGAGGGCTTCAAAACTAAATAGATTTTTGGTATGGGAGGCACATTGTTTACAAATTTTACTATTCAAGTTCTTTTTTAAAATCATATATAAGAAATAACATTAAACAGGGTTCTTGTACTTTTTCAGGAACCCAATTCAAGGACTTTCAAGGACGTTTTAGGTCATTTTCAAGGATCTTGGCTCTCAAATTCAAGGACCTTTTGTATTAAATAGGAGCTGATAGAAAAAAACATTGCGTGACTTCAAGCATGTACATCAGAGTGATCATGTGTCACGTAACCAAGTTTATTTTCAATGCACCAATCAGGTACAAACTATGAATCACATGACAAACATCATAATCCGACACAGGATTTGAAAGGAAAACTGATTTTTGCGATTTGCGCTACAAACTTACACACTTAACACCGAAAACAAAAGAAGACTTTGACTTTGATTCATCTGCACTTATTTTCAAGGACTTTTCTTAAATTTTCAAGGACCTGACTCTAAATTCAAGGGTTTTCAAGTCCCTGAAAACAAAAAATTTAATTCAAGGACTTTCAAGAAGTGCGGGAACCCTGATTAAAGGAATAAACCTAGTAAGGATCAAGATCATTTCCTAAAATTTTCAGCAGTAAATTTGCACAACTGAGTCAACATTTTTTAAAAAATGCTTATCTGTGACATTTGTAGCCCCTTAAAACTTACCAATGAGCTATAAGAGGCAACAATCACACTGAGTTTGACTTTGAATGAAAAGTAAGCATACTATCCATTCCCTAACAACAAACACCTTAATAAATACAGTAGAACTGTCTGGAATAAATACCAAATTATGGCAAACCTCTTGTCTTCCTCCTCGTTTGTTGTAGTTGTCTCCATACCAGCCTCCTCGCACAGCTGGGTAGTAGCTTCTAAAACCATTGAATGAATATCCACCTGGAGAGGGTAAATACACTCCCTTATTTCCTGCCGCCCTGCTACCAGCAGCTGAACGTCCTCTTCCTCTTGCTCTTACCATTCCAAAAGGAGACCTCACACCTCTGAATAGAAAAAAAAAATCAAATTAAAAACAAAAAAAAAAGGAAAACCATACCACTCGTGTGTTTTTTATTCTTACACATGCCGCTCACACACAAAAATGAGCATCTCTGAGAAACATCTTCACCGGACATTTTGTGTTACAAAAAAACATTTCTTGCAATATTCTTTGCTGACCCTGGGTTTACTCCTTGCTTTAAAAAAAATTGCAGATGAAACATGCTCTGAACACCTAGAGCAGTTCTCTTGACCATTCAGAGGCAAAGCTAACACCACTGGTGACTTGATTCATATACTCTGCAGCTGAGCCAGTTTCCTTGGTTCAACTCTGTGTTCTCCTTGGCTCCTCATTACAAATTCTGCCCCCAATGGCTATTGATTGGTTATTTATTATTTTGATGTAACAATTAACAAATGGCTAACACCACAGTGTACACTATTGAGTTATGGATGCACACAGGAGGATGCTAAGCACGATAGAAGCATAAGAGTCATGCAAGGTGATAGCTGAGGGTGACTCTAGCTTCTTGAGTCTTAGCAAACTTCGCAAGTACATCCACAGCTCAATAGTGAATGTTGCCTTGTTTGCCATTTGTTTTATAACATAAAATGACAAATTGTTGCAAAAGAGTTCCCTTCTATTTAGCACTGAAATCTTCTGTAACCAAAAGAAAACAAGCGTGTAGAAATTGGTTTTTGCTTTTGCTCAATTCAGCAGCATACACCCATCAGCAAATGGTGCACACTAAATTGACCTATCGGAGTGCGTACTCTACTTTAAAGTGTGAAAGCTTCTAAAGAAACTGTGGAGCTGTGTCAGCAGGAGTAACACGGTAATTGGTTACATCAACCAAGATGAAATTGTAAATTGGCCACTGTAACGAATTAAAAAGCTGACGTTTCTTCTAAGTTATGTTATAACATCCATTTTTTAAAAGTGCCCCAGGCAATGTACAATAAGCACAGGATTAATAAGAAATTAATAAGGATTAATAAGAAATCAGAGGTGAAAACTCCTACCCCACTCCTGTTGTCATGGGAGCTCCATACATAAAGTACTGACTACCATAGCCTGGAAAACTATATCCAGGTGCAGTACTTGCTGAATACTCATAGGGGGTAAAGCTGGGATATGTTGATACACTCATGATTGCTTTTGCTGCTGCTTTAGCTTGACGATGGTCTTTATCCACAGGCTTGGCCAGCGTTACTTCAATTTCATTTCCATCCAGTTCTTGACCTTACACAAACAAACATCATTGTTAGACTCTTGTTCATTTTTAATATCATTCTCAACTTGCAGAGAGTGCAAAAAGGGCCTAATGCATGGTGAAACCCTGGACAAGTTTAAATTTTACCCAATATTCAACAACGATCTCCAGCATTCAAACATTGTAGGAAATAAATCAGGAAGAATAGAGCAAGGTTCAAGCACTTGATGTTAAAATAAAACTGTGCAACTAAAATAAAAATCCTTAAAATAACTTTAAATAAGTAACATTGCTTAATTCCCGTGAGTGACCAAGACATCATTTCTTCTTACAATAATCAGTACAATACCAAGTAAACAGGTGATGACAATATAAAGAAATATCAGTTATGTCAATTGTGGGATTATCAGTTGATCCAATACCAAATTCCCTGACATCATAAGAATTGTTCGGCAGACAGTAAGGAAATAACTAATGAGATCTTAAGGGTAAGAAGATTAAAAGATATTTGTTTAAACAGGGGCTAGCAAATATTTGAGTGGATAACCACAAGACAGGCTTGTAGGGATGAACTTGTAGTTTATTTGTCTTTTTCCTCCCACAATATATATATATGTAATTCAAACTGACTAAAATGAAACACTAGATTCCCTGCTACTCTGAGTTTCGTGCTTTCGGACTTGTCAGACAGATTATATATATATATATATATATGAAGGCGGAAACAGTACTGTCTGCAGTTAGTTATATATACATATATAGAGACCAAGGTGCAATTTTTTCCTTCTTTCCACAGCAACCAAAATGGAGTGCTTTTGTGTTGACAAAAAGCTACAGCACTCTAGCCTATATCGCAAAATTTTAAAAATGCCCTAGCAAGTGGATTTCTGTCCCCATTTTCCAGTTCCAGGGTCAGATTAGGACTGTGATCCAAAAGAAACATTCTATCTAGCTTGAAAGTTATACTTTCTAAGAATTTTTCAGAACATACATGATCCCCCCTCTCTAAAAGAAAGACACCACCAAAATATTAACACATTCAGTAAAACAATTCCACATCCACAAACATTCAAGTCAATTCATTTTCATATTATCACAACTCACTCTTAACTAATAATTATTATTAAAAACTAGATCATTGGATAATGCAATTCAAGACTTTTTATTGGCTTAGCCATTATGGTATATCAGCCAATATACCATAATCTACAAATATGGTAAGCGTACATGTCAGCTTAAAATTAAAAGAGTGCTAAAAATTTAATAATTTAATTTAACGTTTTTAATAAAACGATTATTCCACTCACGCTTGCTATGCGCCTCGTTGGCTATCTATCATCTCATATCCAATGCGCGCTTGTGGAATAATTGTTAATTAGTCTATCGTGTAGTTCCTCTATATATAGCTCAACCACTATTTGAAGACAATTCTTGTAAAGAATAAGAAAGCTGGTAAGATGGTAAGACATTCCTGATCCTAACAGTGTGCAGGACACGTGTCAAATATGAACGTCATAATGGGCCTTGCTCACCATAGAGTCTCTGCGGCTCGTTGGTAGAGCATCAGAGTATGGAATCCAAAGGTCTGAGGTTCGATTCCTCATGGGGACTCGGAATTTTTTCATTGTCCCATGCTCGTGACAGACAGAAAACATCTCTCTATGTTACAATTCTTTCTTGCTACAGTATTGTTCTTAAATAGAATATTATGAAAATTAGTTCCTACAGAACACATACAAAAAATAAAATATTCAGGTATAGATTCCCACAAAGTTTCCAAATTGAGAGCAAAACCAATTCGCACTCCATACAAGATTCCTCCCTACTTTAATTTTTTTCATTTGGCATTTAACTGAACAATTTTGAAGAGCAGAAATTGTCTGCAAAAAGTTTTACCATTTTCACCCTGACATCAAGGTGCATGTTCTCCATAATATTTTTTTATGTATTTTTAATAAGGTTCTACCAAAGGAGAATTTGTTTAACAGTTGTGAGTTTATTTAGTTACCATTTCTTTTATTCTTGTTACATAAATGCATGATTCAGAAATGATAACATACAGAGAAATTAGATGCTTGTCACTACTTGGGCTAAAAGGGAGGCAAAAGGTTAAACAAAGAGATAATTCACTTTCACTCCTATATGGAATCCAGAGTGATAAAAGTTGGAATAATGTGTAATTGTACAAAGAGCAATAAGCACCTGGCATATAAAAATCATACAAGTGAAAAATGAAATTAAAAAAAAGATGTGATAATTTTACTAACTTTAATCAAAATAAAAATAATTTTCATCCTAGCTGTAATGCTATATCAACAAAGATGAGGTAATAAAAACATTTATTGATCGAAAACATTCTTAAACCTCTGAAATTTCTCGCTTACATCACAGCAAGAACTATCATCTTCACAATTTTTTGACGAGATAACTTTGCTTAATAGCTTGACCGTTGCGGTGAAAACACTGATGATTCCTTTAATATTTAACGTTAACATACAGAAAACATAGCCATTGAAAAATCCATAGATAAAATGCAATTAAACTTAGACGATTCTGTGTTATAAGACGTAAATTGATCTCATTAATTCGGGCCTTTTTGTGCAAGTGTTGAAGGAATCAACAAAAAAGTCAAACAGCAGGTAAAAAAAAAAAGGACTTTTAAGGTCAAGGGTAAGTGAAAAAAATTCATGAATCCGCGAGAAAAAAAAGTGCGTCACATAGAAAGGGAGTTTATTAATAGATGTGGGTTTTCGCATTGGATTACAACCAGTTCGGACGACAAAAGCGCTTCCGGTAGTTTTCAGTTTAAGAGGGTTCTCGTTCTCTATGAACATAACTGCGTCAGGAAGCATTCGACGTTTATGTAGTCAAAATAGAGAAACAACAAGGTAGTTTTATGAGATAATACACGAAAATTATGAAAATTCTAGAGATAGAATCATTTTATTCGTGTTCCAATGTGAATTCGCACGACTTCCTACGCCGCCATTCAACAGCCAGAAAGTTACATCCTTTCGTGTCATGAGAGAATTATTTCAACAGATGTTCACGAGTGTACCAATATTAATTCTCAAATCGGTGTTTCCTTTTTTCAAGGAAAGGTTAGTGATACCGTGCCGACTGAACGGAAAGATCGAAATTTTGGACCTCCAGTTAGAGAAATAACATCTGTATCGAATGACTTAAAAATATAAACAGAGGCACGTTCGAAAGTGGGGTATTTAGTTTCACATCACTAGGGTAACTGCTATGTAAGGGAAAACGCACGTAGCTAAAAAAAACTTGCAACTGCTCACAGACAAGTAAGAACTTAATAATCCCCTGCTTTAAACGGCTACAATGTTTTCTTTACACGAATTGAGCAGGAAAAGATCAAGAGCTCGATCGAAACAAAACATCGCACGCCGCTTCATGCTTCAGCTTCACACGAGAAATTTTAGACCCCGAGGAGTTTTTTTTTTTCACAACACCCGCGAAACAAAAGTTGGGAATTGAAGTGTGAAATTCTCCATTAAGCTAAACAATGGAAATAGAAAACAAATGATTCTGGTACACAGAAAGGAAGCGGGTTCTCGTTGACCGAGCGCGGGGAATGTATTCACAAACTTCATCAAACCCTCCCTTTACCTGTTGCAAAAGTTATCGATCCACAAAACATAAACATGAAACTTTTATTACCGTTCATGGCCTCCAGTGCTGCCCTCGCTTGTTCCTTCGTTCGAAAGTGAATAAAACTGTAATCTTTAATCTTCTTGACTCGTTCAACATCGCCAAACTTGCCGAAAACTTGCTCTATCGTGTCTTCCGTTGTGCTTAATAGAAGATTTCGGGCGTAGAGAACTTTCACCTTGAAAACGAAGCCAAAATGGTACGAATTAAATCGATAGGTTGCGGTTCTATTGAAGTAAAGCGGCCGCTGATAGCTTTGTATTGAATCGCGTTCCCGACATAATCGTCCAGAAACGACAAAAGACTACACAGAGTAACTAATTACTTCAATAAAAAGCTAATGCTTAACAACGACAGACACAAGCTTCGTTGAACAAAGGAACACGGCTAACACGACATCAACAAATAAACTTCTCAACAGCGCACAAACGCATCACAAAACAAGCACCAACTGTTTTGTTATAAACTCCCGCTGGATTTACCCAAAACAAATTTCAGGTCCGCCAGCCAACACAAGTAGTTTAAAAAGGAACGTAGAAAACCGGCGACATGGCAAGAGCCTTTCGAGCATCGATTGGGGGAGGGGCAACTTATGGGTAACGATGTAACACAGTAGTAAATATAAATTACAAACCTGATCCATAATTTCTTCGTCGACTTCTTGCTCTGGTTCAGCCCAATCTACAGCAATCTGATGTCCCCAGAGCTGTATTTTACCCGTCATGAGTTTTCTCCTGGCCATAGCAGCGTCGCGATGCGAGCTGTACTCGACGAACGCAAAGCCTCGGTTCTTCGTCTTGTCCTGCGCCGAAGGGTAAACAATTACGTCCACAACGCTTTCTGTAACTTTCATCATTTCGTTCATGATCTCGTCCTTCTTTACCTTCTTAGGAATGCCTCCTACAAAAAGCCGGCAATTGTCTACCGAGCTACAAACCCCGATACATTTCCCTTTGCGAATTTCGTAATTGTTCAATGCCTTGACACTTTTCTTGGCGTCTTCCTTGTTAGTGTAAACAACGAAAGCGTATCCGCGATTTTGTCCGTTAAAATCCATCATGAGTCGGACCTCGTAGATTTTGCCAAAAGTTTCAAATACTGGAACCAATTCATCCTCGTACAAATCGCGAGGAACTTTGCCTACAAAAACTTCACATCCACGTGGAGGGGGAGGTGCATCCCAACTCGGTGGAGGTCCATATCTTCGTTGCCCGTTGAACTGCCGTATTGGATATTTTGTTCTATTCATCAGCTCACGTAGAGCTGCTTCTTTAGGCGTTCCAGCAACTCCATCTGTACCTCTTTCGGAGCCCTCTTCAATCTTGGACGCCATTTCTTCCCCCATTTGTCGAGAGCTCCGTGCGGTGACTTCGTTGATAGTCATCACGTGTAGTTATGAACTGGTACATATACGCAAGCGCTCTGTCTAAATACAACCGTGTCACGTGAAAGGTGACAGGCTCAGCGCGACCCCATCAAGAGCGAACCAATGATCGCACGAATCTCTTTTACAAATTAAATGCAATCTAATTTTGTTATTACACAGACCAGTTCTGTTTGTTTGTTCGATAGATTGCGCGCTAGTCTAACGTCAATGGAAAGTAGTAAAAAAATTGGCTCCGTTTTCAAAAGTGTAAATTTTTGATAAGCAGAGTTTGCAACGTGACGAGGCTCTACGCAATACGCTTCGATCGCGAATAGCTGACGGATTTTAAATCTCTTACAAGTACATTGCTGGATCTCAAGCATTTGAACAACAAACAAACGTTGTTTTCTTTCAGCTTACAACGCATTTTGCCAGCTTCTTTTGTTTATTCACCCTAAAACTATGGGGTTCAGCCAGTATTATTTGGTGATGACCCTACGATTCACGCCCCAACTTGTTTCTCATCACACAAGACTCGCAAATCCCTCGTGACTTATACATGCTCAATTTACGTAACCGATGGGTTTTTCCCTTGAGTCACGGTAGTTCCGAGAAACTAGAGCTCAAAGTCTGCCCTCAACAAGTTTTTTCCCTTAGAAGGTCAACCGCAAAAATGACGTATTCCTGATAAATGTCCTATTTCAGTCGGTGACAAGCTTAGGCACATGGTTCGCCCTTTGGCCACGAAAATAGAGTGTTGAAAGATAAGCAGCCGCTTTGGATGAGATCAATCTGGTGCTTGAGTCATCTACAATGTAGTGAACGTGTAGTAACTCTTTTAGAGATATTATGTCATAGAGGAGCGAAAAGGATTCACTTGGGAACTGTGTTCTATCGTAAACAGTTGAGAACATTAGTAATTAGTACCACAAATTAAGGTGTTTTAAACGAGCGAACATACAAGTTTGCAACTGATTGAGTGTTTTGTGTAAGACGATTAACGTCGAATAATGAAATGAGGCCATTTATTCTCTTCAGATAAGAAAAATGGTGAAATGGGAGAGCGTTTCTCCGGCCAGAAACATTCTATTCTGTTGTGGGGAACGCGAATCTCTTGGAAACGAGGCGAAAAATCGTAGTTCTCTGGACAAAATGCATCAAAGATTTCGCCATTAAGAAACACTAGTATCAAGTTTCTAGCAATCATGAAGGTGCTTAAAGCTTTGTTCTACCTTGTAGAACAAGTTCAATTTGTTGCCATTTCGACAAATGTTTGATAACAAACAGGAGAGCTCAATTATTGTGCTTGAACAGTTGTAAGGTCTCACTTTATTAGTTATTGACATAAAGTGGCCGCAATTAATTCATTAAACAGGAGGTCTCTCTTTCAAAGCTTGTGGCAAAGATACCGCCGTCAAATTTAGAGCAGTTAGTCAGGCGATTGACAAAACTCTTTTCAAAGAAATAAAATGACAGTTCTACCGTATCTGATTCTGTGATAAATTCATTCTTCTGTTGAACCAAAAGTTTGCAGTTGCCCTTGACGCCGTTCTGCGAGTAAGATTCAATTAAATCAAAAAATTTCTTTGTAATATCTTTCGCGTTATGTAGGGACTTTGTAACGGACATTTCAAATTAGTTGAAACAATTCAAATTTGAAACAAAAGCATCAAGAAGAAATCGTATGGTTTTCTTCATGCACCGAATATACTTCCAAAATCCTTAATAACCGCTTTCTTGTGTTTTAATTCGAATTAGGAAATTTATCTTCAAATAAATGAACTATGAGCGAGGCCTGGGAGCCGTTGAGCTGAAATGTCATTCCGTCTGTCATAAATGTACAAAACTTTTTCCACACTGCTGATTTCAACATCAGAATCTTGTCACTAGAAGTGCCAGAGTTACTTGCTTCGCTTAAATGTTTAAACAGGGAAAATGGCAGAAGTTGAATTTGTAAATTTGCGCGTAAATAAATTTAAAAAGGAATGTAACTGTTAAGTGCTTTTCGCGATTTTTCCGATCCAAATTTCAAAATTTCTTTCCTGAATGATGAATGACTTTGGCAAATGTTTTTAACAAATTTTCATTTCTAAGAAACTGATTCAAGTGACCCATGACGAGTTCTGACAGGTTCCTATTGTGTCCCGTTTACACGGACTTCAATTAGATAAGACAATCGACAACAGAAAAAATAAGTCCTGGCCTGATGCGCTGTTCAGCGAAGAGATTTTTAGTGCAGACATTTTTAAGTTAGTTCCAAGGTTGCTCAAAATATTTCATAGATCAATGATTTAATCACTAGAGCGGTTTATGTTTTTATCAACTCGTTTATTTATTTATTTATTTTTTTTTTTTCTCTATATGAAAAGACCTTTATTGTGTACTGATTATTTTATCAAAGAACAAATCGAAGAAATAAAACACCACCTTTCAAACAAGAAAACAAAAGAGGCAAATGATCTAAATTGTTGCGAGTCACCTACACCTTCGGCTGAGTGAGTGCGATTTTATTTTAATTGTGATGAAGTGCGGTGTGGATTTCAGGGTCATATGCTGGAGCAAATTACGAAATCGTTTCAAAAGGTTTTCTGAAATGTGCAAATGAGATTTCTACGCAGTAATTCTCGGGAAAACACATTTTATTCACCGATCATTTTTAAACGACAAAAGTTCTCGTTGTTTTTCAGGGTTGAAGGATTTGTTTTGACCTGTGTTGTTATCAGTTTAATGACGATCTTTTAAATGGCTTCAGTCCAATACAGCCGGGTTTAGTTGCTTAGTCGTGCCTATATTTAGTTTAGTTTGAACAACAAAGCCTTTCAGCGCACAATATAGGCCCGTTCAAATATGATGAGCTTATTTCTTTTGTTAGGGATTATATGCCTAGGTAAGATCACTGGGTCTTCTTTCAGTGGCGATGATGTAGTTGCGTATCAGTGTGTGTTTCGCGTGACTTCATTTCCAGCGATGCACTTTTTAAGGACATAAATCGAAACGTACATATCTTAGGTATTCCAGAGAGAGAACACTTTTTTCCTTTGCATCCAATTTTAAGCCTCTTTAAGCCCCTGCTATTAAACATTGTAAGGGGTTATCCATATATGGCTGTTGTTTTTGGGATATGTCTCGTTTACAGTTACCTTTCGGAAAAAGAAACTTGATCAGAACAAGTTCTAGCAAAATTCTGTCCGACTTCATGACGTGAGCAAGTCCTGGTTGCAGCCAAGATTTTGTTGCTGACCCCCTTCAGTTTATCATGGATCATGGAGATTGAGTGGCCGGATAAAAACTCACTTGTAAAAGGAACTCAAATTTCAGTCATGTAAGATTTCTCGGAACCCGTATAATCCTCAGCTGCGTCAATTAGGCCCAAAATCACAGAGATAATTTTTATAAACAAAGAAATGATCATCTTATGTTGCAGAAACTAAACAAATAAGTACATAGTATCTTTTACAAAGGTTAGGAGTTTCGTGTTACTGAACTTTAAGCATTGCCTCTTTTCATAGCACTCGGCTGTTTTCAGCTTCGACTCAACACAATTAAATCACCTTCAACAACAAAAACAACTTTTCATCTATTTTAAATTAGATATAATCTGCTAAATCGCACAGGTGGCACTTAAGATCTGAATTGACAGCGGATGTAGCACTTATAAAGCTTTTAGAGGAGCGAGACACTCTGGAAAGCTATCGGCATCTTTTCGGTAAACATTACTCTTCAGCTCCCATCATGAGTGACCAAGACGGAATTTCTCTTGACCAGCTGCTGACAAAATCAATGCAAAATCAAGTAGACAAGTGATGATAATTAAGAAAAACATCAATTAGGGGTTCATTAGTTGATCCAATACCTAATTCTCCGAACTGAGGGTCCCACTGAAAACCGCCATGGCGAGTTGGGCTCTCTTGTTAAATATTATCATTATTATTATTATTATTATTATTATTATTATTATTATTATTATTATAACTAACCTCATGAAAGTCGTATGGCAGACGGTAAGGAGAATTACTTACGAGATCTTGGGATTGAAATTAAGAGATGTTCGTTCGAAAAATTCAGTAAAAGATGGGGAGCCGCGGCATGAATTTGGATTACAAGTTTGAAGAAATGGGAGAAGTAAAGAGGATAGAAATTAACCATGAAATACGATAAAAAGAACCGTAAGAGACGATTTCTGGTGACAACAATGGAACAATACTAACTGGCGTAAAATGGCGAAAATTGTAACCATTAGCCGTAAAAGCCATCACCCAATTGGGACCCTCGATGAACAGAAGCTGTTAAGAAGAAGAAGAAGGAACTGAAAAAGTTAATTTCACAAGAGAGGAATATACTGGAAAAAGTAAAATAAAAATGAAAACAGAGGATGAAGGGATTTGGGATAAGTTAGCCGGATGACTGCCTGTTCGTCGGGTTCTAGTGAAAAGAGGACTTATTAATCTCTCGCTTTTTCTTTTTCTTGTTTTGTTTATGTGTTGATTTTCCGTTCTATCTATCTGGATATCATACCTGTTTTGAATCAAGCCGGTGACAAAGCCACACGTTTGTTTATTTGACAGGAAATTACTCAATGTCATAGAAGTACACCTTGTGCTACGTAAATGAAAGGTTTACTGATATGAACTTGACATAGCGAGCGGCTTCCGTTTTACATAAGTGATAAGTTTTGTTCGGTGGGGGACGAAAAACAGGTATCTCCAGGAAAAAAACCAACGATGAACCAACGATAATACAAGGGTCAAGCGAAATATCACCGCTTCACCTTTACAAGCGCCCTTGGATTAGTGGTACGTGTTACTGGGATGCCTGTGGTCTTGGCGCAGTAATTTTGCCTTGATTCACCGTTGCCTCTGCGGTGTCTTCCAGCCTTTGAGGGGATTTTTTCATGTTGAAATCTTCTTCTCTATCAGGGATATTGTTAATTCATACCTTTAATTTAGTTTCAAACCCTCGTTGATTCGTCCGATACCTAAGTAAATTTTCGTTCAGTTCAAGTACTTTGGGGTGAATTTTGACTGAAATGAGTCCGAACTTTTA